CTTTTACATACATTTATATCCTGCCAGCTACAATTAAAGTACAGTAATTCTAACAATAATGTCCCCTCTGTATCTATTGTTTATCTTTTACATACATTTATATCCTGCCAGCTACAATTAAAGTACAGTAATTCTAACAATAATGTCCCCTCTGTATCTATTGTTTATCTTTTACATACATTTATATCCTGCCAGCTACAATTAAAGTACAGTAATTCTAACAATAATGTCCCTCTGTATCTATTGTTTATCTTTTACATACATTTATATCCTGCCAGCTACAATTAAAGGTAATATACTAACTCACTACAACAGTAATACACTAACTCACTACAACAGTAATATACTAACTCACTACAACAGTAATATACTAACTCACTACAACAGTGATATACTAACTTACTACAACAGTAATATACTAACTCACCACATGTGTAATATCTTACAATGAATCTAAAAATATGTCTTCTATATCATTCTTCATGCAAGTGGTTTATAATTTCTTCATCTTAACTAACTTTATTCAACTGTATTATGTTTTTTGTAGGAGTTAGAACGAAGTATGAAAATGCAGGAAGAGATTTTGGTTAACTTACAGTGTTTGTCTCAGTTATATGAGCAACAAGGTCAACAGGAAGTTACATCAAAACCAGAAGAAAATGTAACATTACGAATACACAAATATTATCAGAAGATTCAGAAATATGCAACAACATCTAAGTCTTATCCATCAAGCTTGAAACAAATCTCTGTAAGTAGATGTATAAATCTCACGTGACTAATAACACATTACAAAACATCATTACAGAGTCAACAAGAAAAAACTGATAGTTTGAATTTCTCTGTGTTGTAGTGAGTTAGTATATTACTGTTGTAATGAGTTAATATATTACTGTTGTAGTGAGTTAATATATTACTGTTGTAGTGAGTTAGTATATTACTGTTGTAGTGAGTTAGTATATTATTGTTGTAGTGAGTTAGTGTATTACTGTTGTAGTGAGTTAGTATATTACACATGTGGTGAGTTAGTATATTACTGTTGTAGTGAGTTAGTATATTACTGTTGTAGTGAGTTAGTATATTACTGTGGTGAGTTAGTATATTACTGTTGTAGTGAGTTAGTAAACTCACTACAACAGTAATATACTAACTCACTACAACAGTAATAAAATACATTACTGTTGTAGTGAGTTAGTATATTACACATGTATTGAGTTAGTATATTACTGTTGTAGTGAGTTAGTGTATTACTGTTGTAGTGAGTTAGTATATTACACATGTGGTGAGTTAGTATATTACTGTTGTAGTGAGTTAGTGTATTACTGTTGTAGTGAGTTAGTATATTACACATGTGGTGAGTTAGTATATTACTGTTGGAGTGAGTTAGTATATTACTCATGTGATGAGTTAGTATAATACTGTGGTAGTGAGTTAGTATATTACTGTTGTAGTGAGTTAGTATATTACTCATGTGGTGAGTTAGTATATTGCTGTTGTA